ACCAAATGGACGCAAGCGCTTTGCCAAATCAATACCAATATTTCCAAATCCCAAAATGAATACCTGCAAGAGAGGAATTTATCAAGTGGCACTAATTGTGTAATGCCCTAAATTCCCTAAATTGGGCATTACCTATCTACAAACCATAAAACCATGAGAACAACTAAAAATCATCCAAACATATATCAAAATCAGTCACCATTCATCATAGATAAATAAAACTCCCAAAACTACGTAAATTAAATTTTTTCAAGCTTACATCCAAAACATCAAAGTAATCTCGGTTCTCAAAATAAACTACTAACTATCTAATGTTTATGACATCAACAAATAATTAATTCCAAACATATAAATAACTCTAAGCCTCGCCACAAATATCAACATCTTAATTGACCTCGGTTTCAAAATCCACTAGCTTATTCAATTTGAAAAATCTGAAAATGTTGTTGTAGGGGTGAGTAAAAACCCGCAGAAAATCCCTCTCAAATTCAAACAAGGTTTTTAAAGCATAAAACAGGGAAGTCCCATTTGAAAAATAGCATATATAACTTTTGAAAATAAAATAGTGTCTGTTGTAATGATTTCAATTTTACAGACCTAATTAATTCAATAACATAAGTAAATATTTAGGAATCAGAGTAAATAAAGAATAATTTAGTAAACAGCATCTCAAATGTCTCATGTATGTTGATTGCTTCCCAGGAATATACTCAACGAACCTACCTCATTCACCCACCATAAACACACACCATCTCAATCATTCCCCGTAAAGCAGCATCATAAACAACTTTAGAAAGGGCGCGTACTGTCTCATACAATATTGACAAATTTATTCTCAGGAAAGGTATACTGTTGCTCAACCTCAGATCTACATTAGCAATAGTGGTTGACCTCGCAAGGAAACAACCCCCTACAAGTGTTAGGCAACCATCTCAACCCACCTGGGATAGACTAACCTCTAACACTCTACGATTGCTTTCGAAGAAAATTCTAGTCCATCAAACTCAAACCATACAAGAGACAAAAACCACAACTATATCAAAATAAACTATATTCAATCACAATTTTTTATCAAAATCTATGTATCACAATTTCACAATTTTCAATTTACGAGAATAAGGGAATTAAAATATGCAAGAGATTGTATCAAAAAAATATTCATAATTGAGATATCAAAATTTCAAAGGTTTTGCCCAAAAACCTTAATTTCTTGGAGATAGTGTAGTATATTAGGTTAGGTAATGAAAGGAGAGACTGATTACCCTCATTCTCCTTAACTCTATTTCTTAGTCTTCTCTTTCTCTTTTTCTTTCTCTCGACTCGTCTCCACTCTAAACTTTAAATTTAATTTTAACTTGGTATTAGAACAATTTATCTAAACTTTGGAACCCACTAGAACACTCACGCAAATTTAAAGGATCTGCTGGACTGCTAATGTCGTCGCCGAAGTTGATCGAAACCGACATGGCATGGCTTGGTTTTTCTTCCCAAGTATGATTGTAATTTTTCTGGATTTTTTTGAAGCCATCTGTGATATGTTCTTATTTTTGAATGTTTTTTGGATTTTTTGGGTTAAATCTTGTGATATGCGATTTGGATGAGTTTGGGACTACAATATCTACTCTAAAGTGATGGGCGCCGATTGAGACTCCTGGGAACTCAAGCAGAGTTTTTTGAAAAGCACATTTATCTTTGGGCAATTTCCAGTAGTATATTGGCTTTGGCAGTCACCAGTTGTGTCTGTCAGCACCGGTAGATTTCCTTCCACTATGTTTTGAGGTTGTAGCTGAGGTTCTTCTTATGTCTTGTACATATTTGTGAACTCTGTTGGCCAGAGAGGATTTCAACAGCAATTTGGGGCTCCAGCAGATCTGTTCAGCACTCCATTTGTTGGGTTATAGATTCCAGTGACACATTTATGGTTTTCTTTGTGCTGGCCAGTCCCCTAATGATTTCTTGTGTGCTTGATATTCATTAGAGGATCCTTTTTGGCACTGGGCAGTAGCTAGCTTGTCCCTCAAGTTTGGTCTCCTACTTATTTGCTACTTGTGGCCTATGTGAAGATTCATTTGAAGTGTAGGAGGTTGTTTTTTGTGTTAAGGTAGTCTTAAATTGCTAGGAAGCCATGTTTGAAGTTAGTGAAGAAACAACCAATAATGAGAAGGGTGTAGTGAGTCGTGTGGGTACTCTTAGATGCAACCCTTCTCTCCAGATCAGTCTGGTAAAGTTGGATGGAGGGAACTACTTGATGTGGTGGGAACTACTTGATGTGGTCTCGATCATGCCTATTATCGGTGTGGGCAAGTAGGTTGAAAAGATACTTGACAAGAGCAAGTAAGAAACCCAAATCTATGCCTGATCTTAGCCAGTAGATCTCTGAGAATTCGTTAGTAATGACATAGCTACTAAACTCAATGCAACCTAATATTAGCCAAGGTTTTATGTTTACAAGAGATATTTGTGAGTAAAAAGGGATACAAACTAAATGTAAAGCCCAGTATATATAGCCAAACAATAAAAGTCACAATAACGATAAAAAGGTAAAAAGAAGGCAAAAATGACATAATCCAAAGAAATCCTAATAAACTAGACTATACTCCAACACTCTCCCACAAGCTGGGCGCAAAAATATCAACTAAATCAAGCTTGACAACGGAGTCCCAGAGAATGGATAGTGACAGATTTAGTGAAAACATCTGCAACTGGATCACCGATCCCCACAAACAATGGAGTGACAATACCACAACTAACTTTCTCCTTAAAAAAGTGAACATCGATCTCTATATATTTCATTCTCTCGTGTAGTACAGAGTCATAAACGAGTTGAATAGCAGATTGATTATCATAATATAATATAGATGAAGAAGTCACTAGAAATCTAAACTTGCCAAAAATTGATCGCAGTCAGATAATCTCACATGTGCCAAGTGCTAGTACCCAATACTCTGTCTCTGTTGACGAGTGAGAGACAACTGACTGCTTCTTGCTCTTCTAAGAGATAAAATAAGCCTCTTGAAAAGCACAAAAACCCGTAGTAGATCGACCATCCTATGCTCTCCCATAATCTGAATCTGAATAACAGGCTAGAGAACCAGTCTGAGATCCAGATGCATAAAACGACTCAAGTCCAACACAAAACTTGAGGTACTGAAGAATATGATAAATTATATCCAGATGAGCCTGACATAGTCTGTACATGAACTGACTAACTCGACTAATAGAAAATGAAATGTCTGGTCTAGTGTTGACTAGGCAAATAAGTCTACCTATCAACCTCTGATAGACAGTCGGATCTCTCAACTCCTCACTTCAGTAGTAAGCTTTAAGTTTGAAATCATAGGTGATGATGTCGATTTGCACCCCAACATCTCAGTGTCCGAGAGAAGGTCCAAAACATACTTCTTCTGAGAAAGAACAATACTCTTGCTGCTACGGACAACCTCAATCCCAAGAAAGTATCACAAAAATCCAAGGTCCTTCCCATCAAAGGCCTCCCCAAGGTCTACCTTGACTTGCGCAATCTCAGAAACATCATCTCCAGTAATAATAATATCATACATATATACCAAAAGATGACACACTGCCCAAAAGTATTATGTCGAATAAAGTATGTATGATCAAAATGACATTTAATGAACCCTAAAAGTACAACTATACAACTAAACCGAGAGAACCAGGCTCGTGGTGATTGTTTCAATCCATAAAAAGACTTACGCAGTCAACACACCTTCCCAGCATACTCTCCCTCACCACGAAAGTCCGGTGGTGCATCCATATAAATAGTCTCGTTCAGATCACCGTGAAGAAAAGCATTCTTCACATCCAACTGATAAAAAGGCTAACAGTACTCCGTAGCAAGAGAAATAATCAACCAAACGGTAGTCAATTTTGCCATGGGTGCAAAGGTAGCACCAAAATCACAGCCTAGTACCTGAGTAAAGTCCTTTGTCACAAGCCTAGTTTTGTGACAATCAATAGTACCATCTGCAAGAAACTTCAGAGTGTAAAGTCAGCGACAACCAACAGGCTTCACCTCTTTAGGTAAAAAGACAAGATTCCACATATAATTGCGCTGAAAAGCATCCATCTCTGTCTGCATGGCAAGAACTCATTGGAGCTCTCGCATAACCTCTGAAACAAAGCGAAGAACCGGCGTATCTAATAAAGTCATACTATAAGCTCGAAATGTAGGAGACAGATCACCAAAAGAAACAATAACCAGATATCGGATATAAAGTCCTAGCGGTCCAACCATAACGAACAACTAGACGACGATCACGTCGCGGATAACAACGCCCTAAATCATCATCCTCCACTAAAAACGTCGCATCAGGTAAAGTAACTACTTCACTACCTGCAATCTCATCAATACTAACAACAGGTGAATCAATATACTTAATGAACTGAGAAATATTACCTGCATTGCCTAAACTAGAGGGGATATGATGTAGGACAACTTTGTAAAATAAAAATAGGGACTGTTTAGGGACTGTGAACAGTACCCGTGAACAATAGCGTGAACAGTAATTTTGGCTAGGAATCACTCCTAGGGTTCCGTAGGCATTACACCTAGGGTTAGAATCACACAACTCAAGAAATATGTAATTGCTGAAAATTCTGAATATCTCACTTTTATCTATTATTAAAAGTAACACTAACTATATATAGAGTTCTAAGTAATCCTAATCCCAAAAGATTAGGATTCCAAAATCTCTAGAACTTCAAAGACACTAGGTCCCTACAAATTAGAAAACTAAAATTAACTAAAATTAGGACTTTAAATTCTAGAATATTCAATATTAGAATTTGACCCAAAAATATGACTAATTCCAGAAATTCTGAAAATTACAAAAATACCCCCGACACTAAAAAATATTAAAAGGACATATAAAATATTAATACTAGCAAATTAACTTAAAATAAGAATGCAAGGTTCCATATGGATCTTTGTCTTGATGGAAAGTCAATTCCATTATCTTTCACATCTTCGAATTTGTGTTTCCTTGAACATCTTATGGATTACATCATTCTCCCCTGGTTGGAGAAAACTCGACCTCGAGTTTTAAAGTGTTGCAGTATGAAAGTCTAAAAACGTTGAACTTGTATATGTAGCTGTCTCTGAAAAGCGTTAAGATGATATTTCATTTTCTTCTCTAATTGAAGGAACAAAGAAAAAATTTGAAAATTGATCCCCTTGATTGTGTCGTTGAAATTTTCTGGAATGATAAAATCAATTAGTGGAACAAAGTGGATAGAAAGAAGCATTGGTGACTCCTCATGTAGATCCTTGAAAGATGCAAACAAATCAAGCTCTTGGAACATCATTGTTGTTGGTTGAAAGTCATTAATGGGAACAATTTCACCGAGCAACACTTTTGGCACTATTTCAGAGCTCTTAGGTAGTAACATACTCATCTCTAAAGACTCATTTGATTCAATACTAGTTGCTAGATTTTTCATCTTGTCAGGCTCCACAACAAAAAAATTGTCTGGATATTCACTTTTTACCTTAGCCTTTGGACAAGTAAGTAGCGTAGTTGCTTGGGATTGTGTTGATTCTTCTACTTGATTTCTTTCATCTTGAATTATTCGATCAATTGTTGCTTTGGGCTGCTTTTGATTAATCTTCTCTAGTTGCACATTAGAATTTAAATAACATTGAATTTTACCCTTTTGCGAAAAAGAAACCCTTGATGTACTTACTTGGTGAAGGAAATTTAGGTACATCTCTGTACCAAGTGTCACTTGGAATGCATGCTCTACGTTGTATAGTGGCTGCCCAAGTATTTCTGCCTTTATATTTGCTCTTAAACCAGCCTTGAATCGAGCAATTATTTGACAAAATTCTTCTACGATATGATTTTTCAACATTAAGTTTTCAAATCTTTGAATATACTCTGTAACAGATAGGTTACCTTATTGTAGATTAATAAGTTGTTTGCACAACTTACTACTATAGTTTGAGGACATACACCTCTGTTGAAGCTTAGCTTTCATCTTTTCCCAAGTGTTTATAGGAGGTTGTTCCACTCTTCTTATATCTCCTTCAACACCAAACCACCAAATTTTTGCCAAGCCTAAAAGTTTCATCTTGACAAGTCTTACTCTCCTCTCATCTGAGAAATTATACCTAACAAAATAATTCTCCATAAAAACAAGCCAACTAGAAAATATTATAGAATCATCCCTTCCATCAAAATCTTGGATCTCCATCATCATATATCAATATTTAAGCCGCATAACATAGGATTTTTTGGCTCTGATACCAAACTGATGTAGGACAACTTTGTAAAATAAAAATAAGAACTGTTTAGGGGCTGTGAACAGTACCCGTGAATAGTAGCGTGAACAGTAATTTTTCCTAGGAATCACTCTTAGGGTTCCGTAGGCATTACACCTAGGGTTAGAATCACACAACTCAAGAAACATGTAATTGGTGAAAATTCTAAATCTCTCTCTTTTATCATTTATTAAAAGTAACACTAACTATATATAGAATTCTAAGTAACCCTAATCCCAAAAGATTAGGATTCCAAAGTCTCTAGAACTTCAAAGACACTAGGTCCCTACAAATTAGAAAACTAAAATTAACTAAAACTAGAACTTTAAATTCTAGAATATTTAATACTAGAATTTGACCCAAAAATATGACCAATTCCAAAAATTCTGAAAATTATAAAAATACCCCCGACACTAAAAAATATTAAAAGACATATAAAATATTAATACTAGCAAATTAACTTAAAATAAGAATGCAAGATTCCACATGAATCTTTGTCTTGATGGAAAGTCAATTCCATTATCTTTCATATCTTCGAATTTGTGTTTCCTTGAGCATCTTATGGATTGATTCCTTGAGCATCTTATGGATTGCATCAGGACATCAACAGGGAGATGAGAGTGAGGGCAACGAACATAACTTGCAAAAGAGGTGAGACTGGTAACTTTGTGGTGACAGGGATGAGTGGCTCTGAAGGAGAAGAGACTAGTGACTCTATAGTAATAGTGACCAATGGCTCTAGATCTTGTGGTAAGGGAAAAACAAAGGGAGTATTATCAACTGAAGGGGCAGACGCAGGACTGGAAGAAAAATAAACTATATACTCAAGAAAGGTAACATCTAGACTGTGATACATATGATGCCTGAAAAGATCATAATACCGATACCCCTTAGACTGATGACAATAGTCTATAAAGACGCAACGATTCACTTTATTATCATGCTTATAACGAGTAGAAGACCTATCCTAAACAAAACATGTGCAGCCAAAAACACGAGAGGGGACCAAAAAAAGTGTCTGCTCAAGGAATAAGACCTGTAAGGGAGCCCTATACTAAACAAAACAACTCGGTGTACGATTGCACAGAAAGGTAAAAGTCAAAACAGCAAAATATCAATAAAATTTTGGTACCCTATACCTCTAAGCATACAACTTACCATCCCTATCAGACTCCTATTTTTTCTTTCAACAACTCTATTTTGCTCAGGAGTATATGGACAAGTGAGTTACTAAAGGATACCCTTAAAAGAAAGGTGACACACTAGGGCATTAGACACATATTCTTTGACATCATCCGAACGAAGAGCATAAGCAATGACATCGAATTGTCTTAATCATCTGAAAAAACTGAGTGATGATAAGGAGTACATCGGACTTCCTATGCAAAAGGTAGACCCAAGTACAACGGGTATGGTCATCTATAAATGTCATATAGTATCGAGCACCTGACTGAGCAATAACAAAAGAGGGTCCCCAAATATCATAGTGTATTAGGTCAAATGACTTGGGTGACTAGTGCATGTGAAGAATATAACTGGTCCTAACATGTTTCGATAGGGAACATATAACACAGTCAAGTTTACCACCAACACAAGCATTGCTTAAAGGAAAAAAAAAACACATAAATATTTAAAATTTGTATGTCCAAAACGGTCATACCATAACTGAACAGTTTGTGACGAAAAATCATAACTACTAGGTAAAATACTACCATGCAAGTTAGGAACAGATAAAGACAAAATAGGTGCAGGTGATGTAGGTGGAAGAACTGGTGAAACTGGAGATGGATCGCCTAAATAATACAGTCCATCTCTCTTATGTCCCTTGATAATAATAAGGACTGCTAGGTTGCTGTCTGGGTGGTTTTGGCATTGGGTTTGCTGGTTTGTTGTTGTCGCTGGTTGCTGGGTCTGTGTTGCAATCGGTGTGTCGATGCTAGCAGTTAGTGGGTGTCGCTGGGCAATGGTGGATGCTGGTTTGTTGTTGCTGGTTTGGGTCGCTACTGGTTGTTAGTTTGTTGTTGCTTAGAGTATCAGGCAGTTGTCTGTGATTTTGCTGGTGGCCTGAAGTTGGCCGAAGTACAGCAGCTGTCTAGGGTGGTTTGTCAGTGGAGTTTATGCTTCGATGGAGTGGTGGATTGTGGCTGTTTGGAGATTTGGTTAGCTGAAGTTGGGTGAGCAGCGATTGAAGTTTGTTTCGCTGGTTGCGACAATTGGTGGAGGCTAAGGTTAGGGTTAGGGTTAACGTTAGTGGCTCTGATATCAACAAGACATCTTTGTGAGTAAAAAATGATACAAACTAAGTATAGAGACCCGTGTATATAGCCAAACAATAAAAGTCACAATAAGGATAAAAAGGTAAAAAGAAGGCAAAAAGGGCATAACTCAAAGAAACCCTAATAAACTAGACTATACTCCAATATATTTCTTGAGATAGCTTATGAGATTTAATCAGTAGTGGCTCAGACATATTCCCAGGTTGGGAATGATGCTTAAATTTATGAACTCCAGAAGAAGTTCATGAAACCAAGCAGAAGTATATGACTATCGCAGAGTACTATGCAGGATTAAATAGCTAATAGCAGGAGCTGGATTATTACTAGAATTTTCAAGCAGACTGTGCTGGACATACTGCTAAGTTTCAGAAGTTGATAGAAAAAGAATGAATATATGACTTTCTTGCTGGTCTCAATATGGAGTATGATCAGTTTCATATATAGGTTTTGGGTAGAGATCTTTTTCCCTCCATGAGGCAAGCTTACTCTTATGCGCAACAAAAGGAAAATAGGAGGAATGTCATGCTTCATACTCCTACTCATGATAAGTATGCTCTAGTAGCTGTACCACATAAAGAGAACAGATTCTCTTAGTCTCATGGTGATGGTAAGAATGGAAGAATGGAGAAGGATCTGTTAAAGTGTGACTACTGTTCAAAGACGAGGCACACCAAGGAGCATTGTTGGAAGCTACATGGTCATCCATCAAGGGGGCAAGGTGACAATGGGGGTGGTCCTATGCGCTCACATGCTCATTTAATTGAGAGTGTTGATCCTATATTCTTCACCAGCGGCCTATCTTCATCTACTAGTTCTGATAGTACAAATTTCCCTACAGATGAGATATAAGTTCTCAAGCGTTTGATGGCCCGACTTGATGCTTTCACCTATATCTGATTCTACTTCTGTTGCTTTCAACTTTGCTCACACTGGTATACATGTCACTACTTTTATTGCCACTATCCTTCTAATCCTTGGATCATTAAATCTGGAGTTACTGACCATATGACAGTTCCTCGAGTCATTTCGCCTCTTATTCCACATGTTATGGTAGAGATAAATGTAGGATAGCAGATGGCTCATTGTCATCTGTATCAAGAAAAGGTTCCATCCATTGTTCTTCATCTATGTCCCTATCTTTAGTTCTTCATGTTCCTAATTTTTCTACTAACTTGCTCTCAATAAGTAGTATTACAAAGTCTCTAGATTGCTCTGTAACAATCTTCCCTTCTCATTGTATCTTTCAAGAACCAGGAACGAAAAAAACAATTGGCAATGGTAAAGCTCACGATGGTTTATATCAGCTGGAGGATCAACCTTCTCAAGCACTTCAAGCTTCTAATTATGTGGCCCTCCAACAATTACATCAATGGCATCAAAAATTTGGTCATCCATTAGTGGGAGTATTAGAGAAAGTTTTTCCAATTTTGATGAAACAATGTAATAAAGATAATTTTCTTTGTGATGCTTGTGAATTTGTCAAACACACAAGCACTTCTTATCCTAGCAATAATAATAGAAGCACTGCTCTATTTATGATTGTACATTCTGATGTTTGGGGACCATCTCGTGTTTTTTCTCTTGCTGGATATTGATGGTTTGTTACTTTTATTGACTGCTATACTCGGGTTACTTGGGTCTATTTGTTGCACAATAAAGAGGACGTATTTACTTGTTCAAGAATTGATGTAGACTAGGAAGGAAAAATTTAGGAATGAGAAAAAAATAAAGGGATGAGAAAAGAAGAAGAAAGAGATGAGAAAAAAGAAAGAATTTGAGAAGGAAACAATATCAGTATTCAATAATAATCAAAGTCTGTCAAAACAAATATCATATCCCCTATATATATAACGAGAGCACAAACCCTAAAAGAAATAAATAGTCAAAACGACAACTAAACCCCTGAAAAGTAAAATGACAAATAACTACTAATCCCTACGTCTACGCCTATTTTAACAAAATATAATCCGATTCCTATCATTTTCCTCCGGTTGAAAATAACTCACCTCCAGAGAGATACAATCATAATAATACTCTAGAAGATCAGGGTCAAGCTAAAGAAACTCCTCTTCAGTAATCCATAAAGCTTCAGTCTTTGGACGATCTCTCCACCGAATAAGATAACAACAATATCCTCCATCCGAGGATCCCACAATCTGATCGTCAAGTACATATGAAATTTGGTCATGCAGTTGTGGTGGAAACAGTGGAAGAATAGGAACTGTAAGTAACCAATAGGCCTTTAGTCTAATGGTACTCCTTACCTTATGAAGGTTTTGCCTTCTTGAGGTTAAAGGTTTAAGTCCCCCTCCCCCTCCCCTGCCCTTCCCAAAAAAATAGGAACTATAGGTGATGCTGATGACGAAGCAACTCCACCGGTAGGAACACCTGC